GTCCGATCGAAGTTCGAACGAAAGCTGAGAGTTGTCACTTCGCACACAAGTGTGCTACACAACAATTACCAGGACACTGCACAGCTGCACGGGCGCATGTCTGCTGGGTCAAAACCGTGCTACATTAAGTGCCGCCCAGAGGGCACTTGAGCAGTGCTGTGCAGCATTACCTCGGTTTCAGCCGACAAAGACCTCTTCTCATCTTGCCACTACAGGAAGTTTGTCGCGGTAGGCTTCGAACCGTAGCGATGTTGTGCCACATGAAGAAGTCGTCCTGCAAAATGCAGGTCTGGACTAGGATAGGTCAGCAATGCGATTCAAAGGAATATTTCACAGAATGCTTTCATGCTCAATCCCGTTATCGACAACACGACGGATCGGTCCAGGTAAGTCTCAAATGGTTCCATGCAAGCTATGCACATTGGGTTCCTAACTCTACCATCTCTACCACCCTTGTTCCTGTTCTGTTTTGGCAGACGGCATGCATTGCTCAGCTCAGTCTGGAAACAGCTCTGACCTTCGCGAGGCGGAAGAGCTACAGTCCTCTTTGTCTTCTTCATCATGGTGGACGTTCATGGGCACCCCATTGCAACATATCGGTGCTGTCTCATACGTCCATTCCTCATCGAGCTATCGTGACACCGCTGCATGCAAGGCCTCACAGCAGCCGAGATGCGATTCCACCGACGACGATGTGAAAGCCTCTGAACACGTGCAAGTGATGTCCGTACCTTGGACACACATATAACCACCTGTACGAAGGTGGGTAGAAGCGGTGAGACGATGATGATAGATGATGATACTGTAGGGAACTGAGCCAAAACTTCATGATCCCTGCCGGTAGACCTCGGCCTCGGCAACGGGGAGGTACTCCTTCTCCATGCGAAGGAGTCTCGGTCGTCATCTCTTTGCAGGATCCATGCATCGCCCAAGAGCTCCTCGTTGGCGTCCAAGCCGCCACAGATCATTAGGAGGCCTTGAGACGCGATTGCTGCTGCAGCATGTGAATGCCGCGCACAGGGGAGGGCACCATCTGTTGGAAAAATAGGGCAACACTTCCACGACAGCTGATCGCAATCCAGCAGCCATCCCTCGTCCAAGCTGAAGGTCTTTGCATCTGTCCCACGACCGCCCAGCACAACGAGCACGTCCCTAGAGCCAATGCGAACGTGTGTTGCTGAATGCCGCCATCGAGCTGCAGGACCTGCAACTATATCCACAGCTTCTAGTCGTGGGTTACAACCAGCGTGCTCATTGCGCTCGCTCGTTTCCAAGACGGCAAGAGAATTTGTTGGCTGATGAGGCCCCAAACGGCCGCCAAATAGAAGCACCTTCGAGCCCACTGCCGTTGCGCTACAATACATAGCAGCCTTGTGATCTCCAAGATGCTGAAATGGCTGGGATACCTTTCCTTGTGGCGAAAGGCTGCCTGTCGGATCCAGCTTGCGGCAGAGTACAGAAGTCTGCCTGCCATGTGTTTGTGACACAGAGGAATCGTACGTGCCATGACCGCCGCACACAACCAAATGACCAGCAGCATACGATGCCGTCAAACCAAATCTGGAAATGCCCAGCTCGTGCAGCTTGTGAACAGGGACTTCCAGTGCGGGACGGCTCGGGCTCTTACCAGCATTGGGCCAAATTGTCTTCGCATTGCAGCACCTTCCCGACATCGCTGCCAGACAAAAATAATGCGTGCACTTCAGATGAAACTCCTCGTATTCATCAAACGGTTCAAGGCCTGAGATTCTGGCCAGTTCTTCGGAAGGTGTTGCGGACAGTATGGATGTCATGTCTGCCGCATCCACACGGGGGAAGGAGCAGAAACGCGCACGCTGTGCTTCAATATCTGGCCGTGCAAGGAGAGATCTCAGGGGGCACTGGCGCTGCAAGAAGTGCCTTCGCATGAATCGACCAAAGGGATCGTAGGGTCCGATCTGCTCATACATACCGAATAAACAGTTGGAAAACCTGCCCGCGGCCCACGCCGCAAGCGCATCGCCTTCACCAGGCTCCATGTAGGCCAGCACGACTTCGGCAATAATCAATGTCGGTACTTCGAAATCTGTACCTGGATTATTCAGAACCGCAGAGAATCAAACCACAATTCACCGAGATTGCGGCACGTCTTCACAGTTAGAAGACAAGTATCAAACAGCAAATTACAGCATCATGCAACTGCCTCATTCGAGGTGCCCGCAGCTTTCAACGAGCTCTCCACGTCAGCCAGATCGCGCCTCATCCGCAGGTTTTATGTCCCATGCATCGAGGCTGCAGATGGAGACGTCTAGACTCCGATGTTGTTCTGATCTATTTTATTTTGACTTCGATGCCCTGCGACTAGGCCTGGCTTCAAAGGATTTCGGGCGCTTGCTGAGTTTTCCGCAGCCACTAGAAGAGTCTCCACCCATGTCTGTTGCAGGGTTGCCAGCAACTTCGAACCACAGCCCATATCAAAATGTGTGTGGTTAAGATTCTACAAGTGTTCTGCCCCAACATGTCCTAACAACCGCTGTATCTCTGCACAAACCTCTTGTGTGTCGGCACACATCGATACACTGACTGGAGGACCGTACTTCCGTCATATGAGAACCCCAGAAGCTGTTTCATTGCCCCAGTTCTAGGAAGGCTGCCCCTCACTTAGCCTTTCCTTTCAGCGCTGCTTGCCAGTAGCTTCCTACTCCGTGGCACCCGAGGCTTTACTCCGTGAGGCCCACCACACCGCAACAGTCTACAACTGCTTACCATGCCCTAAACCATAAACCCTAAACACACTACAAAGACAGAACAATGTCCGAGTTGCAAGTCAGCACCGCATCTGTGAAGCCAGGCCGGCAGTTCTACATTTGCTCGGCGCAGCAAAGCTTCCTTTCGCGTCAGCACCTCCAAGGGGGCATGGCTACGCGATTTTTGCCAGTCCGGTATGCACGAAGCGGCGATGCAAACAAACCGACTCCACTGACTTCACGAAAATGTCCGCCAAAGCGTATTGCTGCAAGGACACGGCGGGAAACTCCACCTCATAGTATCCCTGCAAGCCAGGTGGCCATGAACGCCTCAGCGCCCCAGTATCAAATCCTGCACCGACCACGACCACGTTGTAAGCCTCGCCCGGCCTCAGTTCTAAAAACGCGAGCTGCACCTTGAAAGTGGTTTATGAACCACTCATCCATGGTTCGTTGCTTCATCTTACAGCCGAGAGTGAAGAGATTTTCTGGCCTCCAGAGATTGGAAAATGTTGGAAAACGTTTAGAGGTTTGTTACCATGTAATTATTATTTATGTATTTATCGCTTGTGTTTCTTTTTCTATTGTCGCTTTGGAGGCCCGCGGAGGCCCCGGCCGGGCCATGCCAGAGGCAAGAACACCGCACTTTTGCTGGATTACATTTGTTGTTCATTGCGCGGGGCCTCCCAAAACGATGAAAAATCTGGCATGCCTCGACGGCCAGGGCCTCAACTGGGCCTCCCAAAACGATAATACACACAAACGATACATGAATGATAAAAAGGATGAAACAACTTATATTTGTGTCCCAACCTGTACGGCAAAAAAATCCTCAGCCGAGAGGCTGAATACAGCTTGTCAGAAAAGCCTCCTGCGGCAGATTAAGAGTCAGTGCGCGCCAAACACGTCCAAACACCACGCACTCTGCAGCTGTGCATGAAGGTAGCTCCGCGGAGGGAGCTTCATGCCGGGAAGGGTCCGTAGGCAGCCGTATTTATCGTGACTCCCAACCGGCAAGTCCCACCTGCATCTGCAGCACTCCCAGGTGTCGCGTGTAGTAGCCTCAAGCCAAGGAACGGATCCTCTACAACCAGCCCCGGCAATTCTTGCAATGCCGATTCGGCGCTCAAGTTTACGACTGCATCAACCAGTTGCCTGCAGAGGTACATCTATGCACTAACGGAGATCTTCGAATCAGCTTCCCCTTGGGACCACGAACGGCGACGCAGCTCACGAAAGGGTCCTGCACGTGCCACAAGAGCAACGGCCGATCTTGAAACACTTCATAAGTATAAGGCACAACACACAGGTGCACGAACGAGCAAGCACTCAGAAGCATGGTAATGCACGTTTCGAAACATCAATGAAGATCGAACCAGCGTGAACTATCCAGCCCAGCACCCAATGGCACCAAGCCTTGCACACATACACATATCGCAGCACTCCTCGAAGTACCCCGAAGCTGCAGCACTGGCTTTGCTCACTATCGAGCTGTCGTTGGTTGCCTCGTCTTGGATGGGCCTACCGGCACGCGCCCAAGTCTGATAACAGCATGTGCGCAAGTCACCTGCACAGTAGCATCGGCCCCGACATAGTCGGACATGGTAGCAGCAGCAAATGGCTCAAAAGGAAGGACTGCCGATTGGTGGTGACATCTTCTTGACGGCTGACATGTAACAATACCTGCCCGAGCCAAAAACCGCCTCAAATTTGCATTGAGTTGCAGCTACCGGCACGGCCACAAGAAAATCCAGTATGGTGCGTCTTCACCACTCGCAGTCGGGGGAACCTCTGTCGGGCGTGCACGGCGGCAACATCGCTGCTAAAGGGCCTGCGACGACAAGCAAGGCCAAGAATCTCTCTTCCCCTCTCGAACATGGATACCGCAGGCGCCCGCCTCATGTACTGGGCAGGCTGCAACACAGGTGGCCTCAAGTGTTCGACGCGGAGGAAAGGCAGCCACAGTTGAAGGCAGCTTTTTTGACATGAGCTTTGTAACCAAAAACCGAATGCAGGAACGAACTGAACTTCGTCGCGGCTGCTTTCTTGAGCGTCTGGCTGCGTCGGTTGATGAAACATGCTCTGCCTTCGGCAAAACAGCACAGTTTCTCCGAGATGGGAATTTTTGTGACAACGACCCCCTGCCGGTTGTCTGCCTTCCAACTGGCTGCACAGGAGCAGTGGAGATGAGTGGTGCTTGCACGTGTGGGACCTGCAGCTGTCCATGCGCTGGCTGGCTGCGAGATAAAGCCAATCTGGCGCTGCAAACACTGAACAATCAAACAGTCAAACCGTGATTCAGCTTGCAGCTAGTTCTCTCTCCGCCGCTACGCGCTTGGGATCCAAATGGAATGTAAACCGAACTCTCGCAGAGCTGATGTGAGGATCAGTTCCAAGCCCAGCCCATCTCCGTCCGTCGCGATTCGCCTGTGCAGATGAGGAAAGACTTCCAGAAGACTCTCCGAAAGGGATTGACACAGACTCGCAGTGCAACGTGTCGGAAGCATCCTGGCCAACAACTCTAACTTGGCTTCACACTCATGGCGTTGGAGGGTCGCAACGGTATGCCTACCAAGTCACAGGCACAGACAGAAGGACTGACACCCCCTCACACACACAGAGATAAAACGCTGTTCTTGTGGCTTGGGTCTGCTGCACATTCTTGATTTAGCTGATCCTGAACAGCACTGCTGTCACCACCGTGATCAACTCTTCCCCAAATCACGAGCACATCGGCCATCTGTCTGTTTATTAGTACAGAGAGCACGGCGAGGAAGGGAAAGCGCAAATGAATGCGAGAAAGACACGAAATCACGTTTGCCAAAGGCTGTCTGTGAAAAGGACTGCTGGCGCACCTTCTTTGCGTCAAGTGCGCAAATTCTTTGAGGCCACTTGCTTGAGCCGATGAAGAGCCACATAAACTTGTGAACAGTATGTTGATATCAACTCTTGATGACGGTCGTGTGTGCGTGAATGGCCGGATCTCTGCAGCAACTGCTGACTGCACCGGCCCACCACGATACGTGCACTTCCTCTGAAGGCACACTCGCTGCTGCATGAGTGGCTGTTCTCCCAACAAGAGACGTCACTTGCACAACGTCAGAAACTGCGACTTTGAATGATGACTGCTTCCGCTTTTTCAAGCTATCTCATGAGTCAACAGCATGACCAACATCCCCGCGATCAGGCCTCACAGGCTGGGACAGCAAGCTCAGAAGGTGATTTTCAATTTTCCCATGCACATCGAGGCCCAGACCAGCTGCAGTGCTCCAGCTTTGACGTTGAGCTAACGCTTCTGGCCTGTCTTCGTGGTCAATTTTGACAGTTCCGATTGGCCATGCCATGAAGATCCTGAGGACACTGCAGCAGTTCAAGGCATGCCACGGAGGTCATGATGCCACCCACAACACACAACAGGATGTCCATGCCTGCAGAGCCCAGGGTTCACCACAAAACACAACACTTCAGGCCATTGCTATGGAATAACGGGCATGTGTGAGAGCGCAACCAGATCCAGCCAACGCCCCTGGAGGTAAAACCGAGACCTGGTCGGGAAACATGCAGAATGTTCTTCTCTTCAAATGACGGTCTTCCCCGCATGTGCACATGCAGAGGATCTGACAGCAACGAAAGCTCCGAGGGGTTCGGCCAAACCTGACAGTGTGGCCTGCACGATGACAGACATGACACATGTATCACGACATCACTTCGCGTGCCTGTATAACTACCATTAATTACCATGTCATGCTACCACAGCACAGTTGCTCTCGCTCCTGCACATGCAGCAACAGCAGCAACAACAGTGACAACAGTTTTTTTGCAATTGAACGCTGCGCGAGCGTGCTCTGCGCTTGGCGGGCGTATTGCCGAGACCTGCACTCAAGTGAAACCGAAACAAGCCTACTCTGCTCTAAGAACATGAATACCAGAAGTAGCATGACGTGAACCGAAATGCCTGAGACTACAAGCTCCGATTCAAAGGTGCTGAGCTACGTAAGCTACGTATAATGCCCGTCACCCTCAGTGTGAGCCAACGCGTCCGTTACTCACGAACCTAAGATTGCCGGGTCGTACTCGGCGTAGTCAGTCTACGACCGAGCCGGGTCCCTGAGTGCCAGTTACAGTGACAACAACAACAACACCAACACCCACCAGCAGCAACAACGACAACAACACCAGCAGCTCACCAGCACCAACACCACCACCAGCAACAACAACAACAACGACAACATCATTTCATTCACACGCAGCGGGAAGTGCTCTTGTCTTGGTGAAACTTGTCCTCGCTTTGCGGTGACTGACCTTGGTATTGGCCCTTTTGATGAGTCTTTGGTGATGGCATGTCCACTGTTACCAGTGGGATTGGCTGCCGACCCACTTTTGAGATTGATCGTATTTGATTGCTGCGGAAAGTAACTCCTGCTGCTGCGAATGGCTAGCGCTTCACTGGTGCTGACCCTGCGCCTGCATGCATCCCATCCCGAGGCACTGCAGATGACGTGCCTGCTGGCCCGGGTCCAAGAGCTGAATGTCAGTACGTATTCTACGGTCTTCTTTGTCAGACATCAGTACTTGAAATCTGAAGATGTTGAGTGACTAGAGGTCCCTGCTGGGGCCCGGACTCTGATTCACTGTTCCGACTACCTCGCGATGTCATCGCTTCTTATTCGACTGCCTTTGTGAAGCACTGTAAGTGTCGATCTCCGACAATCTCCGACATTCGTGACTTTTGCTCGCGCAGCGTGTCCCTGACTGCGCACTCGCCTTGAGACTAGAGTGGTTCGGTTAAGGCTTCCGTTTCCTACCGGGTTAAGTAAACTACAGAGGACCTAAACAGCAGCAGCAGTCACGCTCCCTCTTTTTGACCGTTGGCGAAAACCGTCCAGTGAGTAGGTAGCCGGTCCGATGTTCGGACCGGATGAAAACCGGCCATTGCGGACAGACCGGCAACCTACGACCGGTCGGTAGAAGTTGGTGGACCGGAAATCCAACCGGAAGTCCAGCAAGTGTAACCTCCCAAGACAGGAAGGCTAAAGCGTGAAAGCAGACAGTAGCAGACATGATCCGGAATCCGAAGCAGGTCGGGCACTGTCGGGAATCACAAGAGGCCAGTAACAAGCTGAACGGCGTGCCGGCGGGGCTGTTGAGCTTCAAGAGCCACGCCGGCAAGCCGGACAGGAAGTGCTGACAGAAGGGAACCGGAAGAGAAAGGCGGAAGCCGGGGCGGTGGCGGGAAAAAGTTTTAACCCGATACGGAAACCAGCCGTCCTGAGCCAAGGCTGCAGGGCCGGTAGATGTTCCGTTGCGTCCCTACCAAACACATACGATCATGCTCGTGACCGTTCGGTTAAGGCTTCCGTTTCCTACCGGGTTAAGTAAACTACAGAGGACCTAAACAACAGCAGCAGTCACGCTCCCTCTTTTTGACCGTTGGCGAAAACCGTCCAGTGAGTAGGTAGCCGGTCCGATGTTCGGACCGGATGAAAACCGGCCATTGCGGACAGACCGGCAACCTACGACCGGTCGGTAGAAGTTGGTGGACCGGAAATCCAAAACCATATCAAGCTGGCTTGACCGGACCACGGACATACGCCCAACCCAACTCAGGCCAACGCAGATAAAAAGGCAGACAGGTCGTCAGAACCTGACGAGATGCGTACCGGAGAAGAGGACAGAAGGTCATCCCAGGGTACGGAAGCATGCTCCTCCGAAGTGAAACCCAGAAGAGCGGGGGAGCAGCCGCGGCTTAAGGAGTCCGCCAGATCATTCTGGAAACCCGGAACGTGTTCTATAGAGACAGCGATCCGGAACCAATTTTGAAAACGGAGAAACTGGCCCAAGACATGACAAAGACCAGTGGCCATGGAAAGTCCTTTCCAGGAGGCAGATTCAGCGGTGGAGTTGTCACAACGAAACAGCACGTGTATAGGCGGATGCCCGGACGGAAGCAGCCGGTGCAGAAGCACAAGAAGCGCACACTGCGCAAGGAGCTCCCAGGTGCTGATGAACGGCTGAAGGGACTCGGAGGCACTCAGCCACGGGCATAATGCACAAAGCGCCGGACTATCAAACTGATGCTGGAAGTAAAGCCGGTCACCGGACGGAAGGCGGACGAAGCCGCCGAGGCCCACAGAAGTCGCAGAGGCGCACGCGTCCGCAAAAGCTTCCAAGGCGAACGTAGGTGGTAGGCGGAGCGACCGGAAGGGCACACCGGAGGCAATGAGATCGCGCCAGAGCCGGAGCGCGACCCTGGACTCATCAGAAACCGTGCGTGTAGGGCTGCGGATCGCAGTGAGCTGAATCCAGACCCGACGCGACTCGACCGGTTTAGCGGGCAGGTCCGACAGAGAGGAAATAGCCGACTGGCCCACCCGGAGAAGAGAAGCACCCACTTGAATTGACGGGATGCCCAGATTACGGGTGATCCGCAAGTCAGGGGTGATGAAAGGCCGCAAGGACGACCACTGATCCGGCGAGAGGGCGCACATGACCGGAGGAAGTCTATGCTGATCCCGGTAAAGCGGGGTAAGGGTGGGCCGGAGGGAACGAAAGAGGCCAGATACCCACAAGAGCTTGCCGGTAACGCGCTCCAGGTCTGTGAGAGAACAAGACCGGCATTGCAAGAGAAAATCAATGAGGGTCAGAATCCGGACAGCCTTGGAAGATTCCAGGCGGACGAGTAGGAGAGAGAAGTCAAACTCCCAGCCGATCCAGACCACACGGGGGGAGAGACTGGCCTTGTGCCAGCTCAATGGGACCCGGAGGATCAAGAGAAACACAACCAGTAAGCCGGACCAGAGTGGCGCAGTGACCTCCTCAAGCACGGCCAAGGCCAAGAGGTCATCTACATAGATGAAGCCGGAGTGGGACACGTACCAGAGGCGGTGGGATAACCGGACCAGGAGGCCGGCCATCCTGGACCAATAAAAGCTGCTGGCACGGGCACCGAAGTTGAGGCACTTGGATAGGTACAAGGTACCCCGATGCCGGAAACATAAAAGGCCCCAGTCGCACTCGCGGATGCGGATCCGGCGGTGGGCTTTAGCGACATCCAGAACCAGAGCGCATAAGCGCTCTCGAGCGGAAAATACAGGAGAGCAAAGTCGAACGTCCATCAAGGTGGGGTTGGGACACCGGTTGGGGAGCTGAGTGTGAGAGGTTACCCCGGAAACGGAGCTATCTACCACCAAGCGAGGAGGTCGATGGTCGGAGACCAAAACCGCCGTTTTGACGAACCGGGACCGGAGCTCCGCGTCCCCTCCAGGCACTGCTTCTATCCACCCGGATGCAATCTCTGTGGCCAGAAGGTCGTCCACGGAGTCCGGATGCGAGAGGGCGGATTGCCACGATGACTCGCAGTGCTGCAGATCGATAGGCGCATCCGAGTGAATGTCCGGAGGGGGAAGGACCGGACAGGGGGGCATAGGGAAGTCAACGCCCAGCGGGACCCTGGATTGGAGAAGACGGGCGTAGTCCGAATCCGCGTCGCCCAAGATAAGGGCAAGACAGTGGAGAAGGCGCAGGCGAAAGGCGGCGAAAGGGCTGGCCTTCATCCACGGACAGGAGGGCTTCCCAAACGGCGTCATCTGTAATGTTGAGAAACAGACGGAGATCGGAAAGGTAGGGAGACAAGTCCTCGTCCGAAAGAGGAGGATCTTTTGATTCGGAGTTGAGACGGCCGATGAGAGAAGTCAAGACCCCGGGGAGAAGCAGACGGTTGGACCAACGGGACCGGAGGCTTTTAAACGTATCCGGACCGGAGGGTCGATGCCAGAAGGCGGAGCTAGAGGTGCCCACACCATCTTCCACCCTTCTCTTGGGAGGGTCCCAGGAGAGCTTGGGGGGAAGAAGAGAGCGCCATTGACGCCAAGGCACGAGGGCGTCAGCGGAGCCGAGCGCAGGTGCCAGTAAGGCAGACAGCGCATCGGAGAGGGAATCCGGATATTGGGCGGTGAGGCGGGTCGGCGGGTCGCAAAAGATCCGTCAGACAAGCGCTTGCCAACAAGGACCGGATGCGAGCCAGGCGCGTGAGAACAGACTGACGCCAAAGAGCAGATGTCGTCCGAGTTGGAACAGAACAGCCAGCGCTTGGAGACGTCAAGCCCATGGGCACAGGCAGCAACGGACGCGGCGAACCGAGCCACGGACTTCTGCCAGGATGCTACTTCGGGATCAAGCCACAACAAACTGGAAACCGGATTCTCCATGACCACGATCCCCCCGGCCGCCGAAACCAACGCCAGGAGTTCCCGAGTCCGCTGGTGGAGGAGCGAAGAGGCAGCTAATTCCCTTGCTCCTGCCGTGGATAGACCGGGGACACCGGTGGGAAATTCGGGAGCGCGAACCGGAGAAGGCCCACCAGGCCGAAGCCTAGCGCGTGAAAAGGAGGCGCAGGGCGGAGCAGCACAAGCGACCCCGACCAGGCCAGAGGCGCAAAGTTCTTTGAGGTCGGAAAAAACCTCATCACAGGCGACATCCGAGGCCGGGGGGACCAGTATGTCGACCGGAGAGAATCTATTCGCCTTGAGCCGAGACATGGCCTTGGACAGGGAGCTGCATGTCCGGAGAACAAGTCCAGGAAGAAACGGGGAGGAGGCAGGGCGCCGGCAGGCTGGTCTGAGGTAGGATGGGCCGAAGCCGAAGTCCGTTCAGAGACCCCGGACCTGG